GATTCGTATTTCACAGTGTTTGAGCGTATCGCAGGTGCGCTGCACTGGCCAAAAGATGTGTGGTCTCTTTTACTCCAATGTAGACTGGTGGGGAAAGCTCAAGAGGTGTGCACCGCTCTTTCTCTGGAGGACAGTTTTGACTATGAAGTGGTGAAGACTGCTGTCCTGCGTGCTTACGAGCTTGTGCCAGAGGCTTACAGGCAGAGATTTAGGAATGGAAAAAAATCCGCCAACCAGACCTATGTGGAGTTTGCCAGAGAAAAGAAAACTCTGTTTGATAAGTGGTGTCATGCTACAGAAGTAAAAACCCTGAATGACCTGCGTGAGTTGGTGACGTTAGAAGAGTTTAAAAATCAACTACCAGACACTGTGGTAACCTACTTGTGTTGTTTCAGCATTTATTCACAGAATGCATGATCAGTATAAATCATGTTTTCTAGCCAAGAGGGAAATTTGTTTTGCAGTCAGGTCACACTGGTTCGCTGAACAGGCCCATACAATCAGAGAAGGCTTTGGAACTGAGCGCTAATAACAAAGCGCATGGGCTTTCTCTTCTTTTGTCATCGACCACAGACCAGTTTTCCACTTTTCCTCAGTCCATTTTAAATGAACTTTGGCTGAGAGAAAACATTTCTATCATTTCTGTCCCAACTTTATTGGAATTGAGCTTGTATTCTCCTAGGTGTTTGTTGAAGAAGAACCTACCAAGAAGGATACTAGAACATGGTTGATATTTACAGTCCCCTTTTCAGTCCCCTTCCTGACTTCTCCACCCTCTGACATCATACACTTTGTTTCAGTCCAAATTCACAACATAGTTGCTTTCATCTGCACACATGTGAAACACATGTCAATGACAGTCTCAGCTGTGCTGTTTTGTTTACAGTGTCTGTCTTTGTATTTCCTTCAGGACGTCATCGCTGGGTTTCTGTACAGCATCCTCATCCTGTGCTTCTTCCTGCCGATACTGGACCTGATCGATGGCTTCAATTTGACCTGCCGCTACGCTCCAATCGTCATCATCTCCCTCCACCTGGGCCTGGGCCTCTTCTCCTTCACCCTGGACACCTGGAGCACCTCTCGTGGTGACACCGCTCAGATCCTGGGCACTGGTGCCGGCATTGCCTTGGCTTCCCATGTCAACTACCACCTGGGCCTGATGCCCGACTTGACACCAGACCAGCTTCCCCTCAGCATGCCCGCACTTAGCCCCAGCCTGGTGGCTGTTGTAATGTTGCGGCTCGTTGTGGGAGTGCTGGTGCTGTTGGCCACGCGGGCGCTGATGAAGGCCATCACCATCCCACTGGTGTGCAGAGCGTTCAGAGTGCCCACTGATGACCTGAGGAAGGCCCGGCAGCACATGGAGGTGGAGCTGCCTTACCGCTACATCGTCTACGGGACAGTGGGCTTCAACGTGATCTTCCTGGTCCCGCTGCTCTTCAGCTACATGCAGCTCTCCTGATTGGATGTTACTTGACTGTGTGGCCAGTCAAAGTGAAGTAAAAACCTAAATGCTGTCATCAGATCAGTTTTGCTGCTTGTTTTCATCCACAGCCTAATCCCTAGCTGGAGGTTGCTGGGTTTGGGACTGATGAAGGTACATTAAAGCCTAATTGCTGATCTGGATGTAGAGTTTTTATCAGATTTTTTGTTTTTGTTGTCTCAGGTTACTTTTAAAGACGGGTGAATCCTGAGCAATGGAAAATGGGCTTAGACTGTTAACAGTTCACTAGCGATATCTCTTTGTTCTTTAGATTTATTTAAGAGTAAAATCCAGTCAGATAATGCTTTGACACTCTCAGAGCTGGAAAGTCACTCCTCAAATTCAAAAAAGCATTTCAACAGTGGCCTCTAGAAGACTAAAAATGCAGGTCATGACCACTAACAGATGATGTGCGTTAGTATTTGCATTGTTATGACTGATGTTGTTATTAAGAGCTCAGGCAAAGAACCATAGAAGTATTTTTTTAGGAAAACTTAAATTATTCCAACAACTCAAGTGAATAATAAATCTTCAAACGCCTGACAGAAAATGTTGAAAATAAAAAGACTTAGTAAGTCTCACTAACAGTCTGAAAGCCAAAGATATCCAGGCACATGATGAATAAATAAATAAAATAGAAAGTCTTCTTTTAGTCAGATGTCCAGATGGATCAATGGCAGAATGAGTTTGGGTTGTAAATTAAGTGCTTAGTTTAACTAGTTTAAAGAATGTTGTAGTTTGAGTTCAGTGTCACTGTTGAAACTTTGTGTGGTTCTTTGTCTAGTAGCCTCTTAATGTTTCTGTTTGATTATACTCTCCTTTGTCTCAATTCTTAAAGCAATAAGAGACCTTTCATTTTATGATTCCTGTGTTCCTCTACTGGATCGGAGGAACATTTAGTCTTTAACCTCTGAACACCCTGCCTGTGGAGAGGAAACCAGTTTGATTAAAGTTTTTGATTTGTTGTTACGTCTCTGATGTCTGAGAATTCAGCCACATTGTTTTTTTTCAGGAGGTTAGATTGTGTTTTCTTAAAGGGCTTTCCCCACTATTTGAGTTCTGAGTTTGACTGCTATTCCTGCAACCCGATGGGAGAAAAAAGAAATACCAGGCACATACTGTACGATGCAAAAGGAAAGGAGAATGCATCGCTTTGTTTGGGAAATGTACAGAGAGGGTTTTAATGGTTTTATTTTGTTCTCTAAGAATGACTGGAGCACTCAGCTCAGCCTGGTTTTTTTTAATTTTATTTTTAAACACTGTAAACTTGCTTCCTATTAGAGATGTCGGCTCACATCCACTTCCTGTTCTTAGCTGAGGTTCTTTTGCTGATGTCAGGTGGGAGGAGGTGGTGGAGATAAACCGTCCGGAGGGAAGTTTTCTCATGTTTCTAAAATTGGAACTCCATTGACAACTTTTTTGTGCACAACAGGCGCGTTCTAAAAATATTAGAAAGTATTCGACTACAAGTGCAACATTATTCACTGTTTTATCATGCATGAATTTGATACTTGATTCTATAAATGTAGGAAAATTTTGTCTTCAAATTTTGAATACAAAATTGCTCCAGAAAAGCGGCGTGAACGTGAACTTTTTAAGTGCCTTTGACAAAAGTAATCAAACACATGGTTGCCCTGAGAAGTCAAATGCACTGCAACATAAGGAAACGCCAGCAAATAGAAAAACAATCCAGAAAGCACACAAAACACAACAGAAGTTGAACAAAATGCAATGGAAGTAAACAAAGAAAATCACACAAATCACAAAAGATATGCTTCTGGGGAGGTGATAACATGATGGAACAGCTACACATGTGACAGAAACCAAAACATGTCAACTTTTGCACCGAGACACTAAAAAGAAGCAGAGTTGTTGTATAACATGGAGAAAAGTATGCAAAGTACAGTATTACTGATCCTGTAATACTGTGCATACATGTTTGCTATCAGCTGTTTACCATCAGGTTATCACTTCCATCCGTCACATTATTGTTTCCCCAAAAGCACATCTGTTGTGTTTTATGAGGATTTTTGAGGTTTTGCTGCATTTTGTTTTTTTTCTATTTTCATTGTGAAAGAACTATTTGATTCAAATGTAGCTTGGTAAGATGTCAGAGCAGAATCTATCATCGTAAGACTCTGGTGATGTTAAACTTGTTAAAAAGCATTTTACATTTGCAATAAAAAAAAAAAGCTTCCACTCGGACTCTTACCCGAACTCCTCCACACCACAACTAGTGATTAATTGGTTAATTAGTTGATTAACAAAGCTTCCTTCGACCACTCTAACCTGAACCTGAGTATAAAGACTGAGGCCAGGAGCCCAGATGCCTGCTTCCTGTTTCTAAGCTGTGTGTGCCTTGCTTAAAGGCACATTTAAAAAAAGTTTTTCTCCCAGCAGGATGCTGCCATTGACACACATTTCTTTAGTCTTAATTTCTTTTTTTTCTTCTTTTTTTTTGCCAAGCTGATTTATTTATGTTATTTTTGTGTACGGTACTCTGCTAAAATAAATGCACTGTTCCCAGAATGCACTGTTCCCCCTCCGAGCCAGGCAAAAATAATGAAGGTGGAGCTGGTCCTCAATGCAGTCCAATCAGTAGTTCCCTTTGATTTGTCGTCTTGCAGTTGGTTGGTAAACACTATGACGAGTGACCGTTATAATGAATAGGTGCTTTACTTACATTAGCACCTGTTAGCTAATGCAAGTAAGATTCAGTCATTTACAGACATCTGTGCAGTAGCAGAGAAATTTTCCAGTATAGCAGCTTGAACCAGCAAACATCTGGAGTCTTCCCTTCATAAGTGACCTTAACTGTCCCTGGATACTACAATTTTTCTGTGGTATGTTTGTTTTTCTGTAGTCGACTACTTCTGTCTGAAATGATAATCCAGTGATGTGATGAGAGCTGCTGATTGCATTGGTTTAATTCTTTAGGATGTTCACATATAGTTTAGTATTTTAACTTAATCCAGCTGCAGATTTGCCTCTAATTAACCGACTCATCAAAGCCAAACGGACCAGCTTACTCTCTGCATTTGTCAGCCGCCTGGCTCGTTTCACTTCCTGTGGCCTTGCCTCGTGCACAAATATGTTTGTGTTTTTCGGAGCGTTTGTATATTTCTTGACGTTTTTGTGCGTGTGTTTGGGCATGCGGTTTTGTCTCTGTTCCACAGAAAAGAGAAGTTTATTTCTGTTTCAGTGACAAAACCCAGTTTGTGTTAATCCTGTGGCTGAGCTGAGTTTGTGTGAGTGACGGACAGAAGCTCAAACTGCAAGAAGTCGATGACAAAGCAACATTTGTCATCTGTGATCTTTAAGGACATTTCCCCTGCACATCGACAAAGGAGATGAAGCTGAACTCCCTGACACGTCTCGCTGTGATATGTTCCTGTGTTTGGAGACTGGTTTCTACCTGTGGATGTTCTTTTTTTGTGGAGTCAAAGCAGGGCTGGCCTCGTGATGTTTGACGAGCCTACTTATAAACTTAAAGATGTATATTTGGTACAACATCTTTAAAATGCATCATATAGTTTTGTTTGGCTCTGTTTTTATATCATCTTAATTGTGATTTTGCTTTGTTGTGATCGTGATCTTTTGTTGATATTATTTCGGTACATTAATATATTTTTGAAATCTTAAATTGATTTGTCAAAAATATATAGTCTGTGTTATTTTCTGTGGTATGATGTGGCTGAATTACAGAATTTCTTTATTATTTGTAATGTCATTAGGAGGTGGATGGACAGAGTCACCAAAGTCTATATACTGTAATAACACAATATGCTTGTCAAATTGATCCTAATTTATTATTATGATAACTTTAGTTCTTGCAATACAATATTTAAAACGGTTTTTCCTTAATCTGTTCAATGATTGGTTTGAACAGCCAGCTCTGCTTTGTCAACTCACAAGATGGAGATTTGATTTCTTCTTTTTTTAAATACTGGATCTCAGAGGAAAAAACGTCTTTCTTGACCAAATATGCAGTATTTAAACTGTGTAGCTAAACTGCCCTACACGTCAGTGCCTTCCTCTGTCCTCAGCTCTGTGCCGTCATGTTGCCTCTTGCACTTTGTGGATGTATATAAATATGGGAGGATGACAAGTTTCCTGTTTATAAAAAAACAAGAACCCTTTTTAATATTGCCCCTACTTTTGCTTTTTAGTTGCTGTCTTGAGGAAAATTTGCAAGTCTTTGTCTTTAAGTCTACATGTTTGATGCAGAAATGAATTTGCCTTTTTCTCCCTGATAATTCGCGGCTTTCATTCCAAATCGCAGTCAGAGAGTAGAGAGACGAGGTGAACTCTTGTGAGTTTCAGCTTGTAATCAAACCCTTCATGATTCCTTCTTTATTTGTGAAGTCTCGCTCACTTTCACAGTATTTTCTTCATGTTTCTGCAGGGCTTTATTGTTGGTTTTCATCTGTGATTGAAAATGTGGCTTATTTCTGTCTGTGTGAATTAGCTGAGAATAATAAATGAGAGAATCAAATATGTGCCTGCTTGTCCTCAGTTATTCCCTGCAGTGACAGACTGCAGAATGAAAACGTCCGTGTGTGTGTGGAGTTGTGGACATGAATGTAAAACCATTTGAAAGTTTGTTCTTACTGAATCTTTCTCACTGTAAAAAGAATGTTACTAATTATTCTGTAGGTCTGACCTTGGACATTATTTTCACTGGTGCACCCACAGCCATGACCTTGAAAACTCTTGCTTCTTTAATCTGGTTAAATCTTCCTCTAAGGATGAACATAATGTAGTATACTGAACACACATTTTGTAAGAGTTACAAAAATATATGTGTTTGTAGTTTTGCCTCTGCACACCACCACTGTGGATTTTAAATCAAATAAGATGTGAGTCAAGTGCACACGTGGAACTTTAATTTGAGGGGTTTTACAAACTTTTTGAATTACAACATTTTACATTACTTCGGTTTCAACTACAGATATTTTATAATAGTCAGAGGATCAAAACGAATAATTTGAAATGTAACAAATGTTTTTGATACTTGGATGAATCCTTTTGCACTCGGTGACTGCCTGACGTCTAGAATCCATGGACATCACCAAATGCTCTGCCAGGCCACCTTCAGCTGCTGGACGTCTGTGGGAGGAAGCCAGAGTGAACCCACGCAGACAGTCCCCCGGCCAGATGGTGGATTTGACCTCAAAGCCTTCTTGCTGTGAGGCAGCAGTGCGAACTACGGTGCCACTAAGCTGCCCGCTTTTAAAAGGTGTTCAAAGAAATTTTCAACAAATAACTTCATCCAGGTCCACCTAAACTGTTCTGTGTGATGTCAGCTCTCCCATGCTTTGGATGCAGCCATCCCAAACTTTCAGTGTTTTTTGTTTTATCATGGATAAATGATTTGTGTGTATGTGTGTGTGTGCATGTGTGAATGTCAGCCCAGCTTTGCTTTGAGGCATGATGGAAAAACTAACAGACCTCTGATTCATCTGTCACCAAACTGCAGCGGCTTTAATCAGGAAGTCTCACGAAGCAAAACCTTTGCTGGTGAGGACAGTAATCCTGAAATGGGTCAAATTCAGTCCACATGTAAAAGAACATGTGAACAGGTGACTATTTGCATAAGAACTTGACTGTTTGGGGTTTTTTTTTTTTCTTTTTTTTGATGACGCAGTCTCTTCTGTGTTTGTTTCTCCTGCTGCAGAGCTGTGATGTGTCACAGGAGGACCAACTTTCCACTTTGTTCTGCCAAAGCTGCTCAGCTGAGGAGGGGAAGAGAAACTCCAGCTACTGGCCTGAACATGAAAGACTTTCTCTTACTTCTTTTTTTCCTTTGCTTTAGAACGTGACAGCGCTCAAGACTGCGGCTGAAGCCTTGTGGATGTTTTACTGGGAAAGACGAGTGTGTCAGTCTGGGCTAAAGCTGCAGAAACTTCACACACTTCAAACTGTAGTTAACCTTTGCTCACAATCCTTCATTTGTCTCCAGGTTAACAGGAGACACTGAGGTTCACAACACAAACAAATTGAAGTTGCAGACACACACACACAAAATGCTCAAAGAGGCACAAAAGAGCCTTAGAAACACCAAACGTGAGAACAGAGACATAAAATTACCACAAAGAGTCATCAAAAAAGATGAAGGACTGTAAAGATGATAGATGATACTAAAGTGAAGTGTTGGTGCAAAAAGACTCAAATGGACCATTGAGGAACACAAAGCACACATGACAATGTAATGCAAAATAAACAATAAACTGCAAGCAAATATGACAATGAGTACAAAAGACCCACAAAAGGACTAAAATGTGCCGCACAGGGGCACTGTGTCAAAAACCAGAATACAAAGTGATGCACAGTGAGTATGAACACATGTTAAATGACCACAAAAAGATGCAAATTGAGAGACAAAGCAAGTAGATTTGTTTGAAGCAGATGCAAATATGAGGAAGGTGGGATTATATAAAGAGCTTTGAGAAACACGAAAGACTTCAGAACAAGAGTGAGTCATGTCAGCTGTGTGAGTGTTGTCTGAAATGACGGATAATAAAAAGGAAAAAGTCTCCTTCACTCTCCTCCTCTTACTCCAGTACCCCCGAAGGACTGAGGTTGTCTTTAATTTGTTTCTGTGTGGCTCCAATGTCAGATTTGGGTCAGCTGGAAAGCCTCGAACAGTTTGAGACCTGTGAGAGCTGCTCCTGCTGCCACCTGCTGGACGACACAGGTATCACACCTGAATTTATTTCATCCTAAGGCAATCCTTCTAGTAGAACCAGATCAGCTTTGCCCCTTTGTTTTGATGATATGTTTGAGTTTCTTGTTCTGTTCCCTTTTTTAAAGTATGTCTGTAACAAAAAGCCATCTGAAATTGCCAAAGGCGAAAAGAAAAACTGATTTAAGATTTTAAATTGATGAAAATTATAATAAGAGATTGCAGCAACGCTTCATAGGTCGTTTTACATATTTAATTTATATTTCTGATGCGCGGCAGCTGTGTTTCTTGAATAAGCTGATTAATCTTTCCTCTGCAAAGTAAATTAGACGAAACCCCGGTGCATGATGAATCAAGTCTCAGTTTAAGGACCTCGTAATTTACTTGTTGAGTATAACGTCTCAGTTCTTCTCTTTGATTAAATCCAAGCCTTGAGACTGGCTGACTCACTGCAGAGATACATTAAACCCTTTAAATTCTAAAGAGAGAGAGAGAAAGAGAAAGAGAGAACAGGCATTTTTGCACAATTTTTAGCTGAGATAAATTAAAAATCAAGAAATGTAAATATATACAGTTTTTATGTTTTTTCTTACGTAAGCACAGTGTAATAGTGATCTACATTTCCCACATTTTTCATTTTATTAATAAAATTAAATGTAAACTATTCACAAGCAACGTTATAATAAAGTGAACTGTGAGGGAAATAAATTCATAATAAATATTTTAAAAATAAAGATCAAAACAGAATATGGAAAAAAGTAATAAGTACGAAACGCACGAACGGAACTATGTCATGAAGAACGTTTCCGCCCGGTCTGTACACACTGTGACACAAAGCACTTCCTCCATGCGTAGTTTTCGGTGAAATGAGCTCAGTTACGTGTTTTTAAGAGCTTTAACGCCAAAGTCTTTTATTGTAATAACGTGGCAGTGGGCTGTTGTGTTGTGTCCAGAATGGCGGCGGACGTGTCCAAACACTAGTGTGTAACACACCGGGAGTTTCCCTTCATTTGTAGCAGGTAGGAAGGTCGGCTTTAACAGCACGCGACACGATAACATTCACTACACAGCGATGAGCGATGAACGTGGAGCTACAGACCCCAGCGCCAAACTCTAAAAAAATCCCTAAAACTCGTGTTTAGAGCTAAAACATGAATAATGGAGCGGTTTTGGAAGTGTTTTAATTTGGGGCCGAATTACAAAATTGGATTAGGCAATTTATTAAACATCATCAGCTGTGTTCTCATATGCGTATGTATGTAGCAAATAAAGAAAGCTGTAGATAATATACATTTGCTATTGAGTCTTGTTATAGGAGACTGAATTGTAAGCAGTTTTACTTTGGTGTTTCAGAAAGAAAAGGTTTAGGATATATTAAAACAAAAACAACTTTGTATTTTCCCCAGTGAAGCTACACACAGACTGATAACACTGTGGTGTAGGAGCACTGTTATTGCTGCATAATTTAGAAGAATATTCACAATTATCTGTGAGTGGGAGAAACTGTTTCCACAAGTCTCCTTCCACATGAATAAACATGGGCACATTCAGACCACTGTGGAACTGCTGGTTATTACACAGTTGTAGAAAAGCAGCTCTGTATTAGATTATAAAACCGATGAGTTGCAGGCACAGGTGGATCCCAGGGTTTTAACCACTGACAGGAAGTGAAAGACAAAGTTGCTGGATTTGCTGATCAGAGTTCTGTGTCTTTTTAATTATTCCATCTCATTAGGAACTCATCAGGAGCTTCCATGGAGGGTTTGGAGGAGAAGCTTAAAGTTCTGTCCATCGCTAGGCGGTCCTGTCCGGAGGAACCCACCTACCTGCTGGATGTTGCCTTGCAGCCGAGTGGCCTTCTGGCGGTGTCCTGCTCCAACTTCACCATCCACCTGCACAACAAGGACACTTTGAAGCAAGTGGGAGAGTATCAAGGCCACAACGGGCGGCTCTGCGGGGTCACGTTTGGCCACACCTCCTCTGACCTCCTGTACTCCGGTTCTGCTGACGGGACGGTCCGCGTGTGGGACGTCCGCCAACCCGGGACGGAGGCAGCCCAGAAGTTTAAAAGCGATCCAGCGCACTGTTACTGCAGCTTCGACCTGAGCTGCAGTGACATGCTCCTGTGTGCCGGCACTGAGCAAGTGGACAGCGAGGACAGCTTCCTCATTTTCTGGGATTCCAGGAAACCGGCAGGTGGGCTTCTTGGGGTATACTCTGAGTCGCACAGCGATGACATCACACAGGTGCGCTTCCATCCCCGGGATAAGGACCGCCTGGCTTCGGGCTCCACAGATGGCCTCGTTAATGTTTTCGACCTCAGCCGGGGGGCGGAGGAGGATGCGCTGCTCGCCACCTGCAACAGCGACTCATCAGCGAGCTCAGTGTGCTGGTCCGGGGCCAACTACACCCAGCTGCTGTGCCTCAGCCACGATGAGGGGTTGCACCTGTGGGATTTGGGCCAGCTGGATACAGATGAGCCTCTCACCATCTTCAGCACCTCCGACGCTCGCAGCCTGACTCTACTGGCTGACGGGCGAGGCGTGGACTACCTGGTGGGGGGGCGGTGGCTAGAGGACACCCAAAAGCTGCTGGTGGTCGGCGGGAAGAACAACGGAGACCTCCACCTGATGGAGTGTGACGCCAGGGGTCTTCATCTGCTCAGGAGCCTAGAGGGTGGCCACGCCTCCACGGTGCGCTGCTTCCTGTGGGATGCAGCAGGGGAGGCGTTGTTCACCGGGGGGGAGGATGCACAGCTTCTGCTGTGGAAACCGGGTGGAGAGGAGCTCACACCAGGGAAAAGGGAGTCTATGAAGAGCGAGTCAGCTCTAAGACTCAAATCCAGACCTCATAAAAAACACGGCTACCACAGAGAAAAGACGACGGCGTAGCAGAGGAACAAAGTGAACCTGACTGAAGCAGCCCTGTGTCCTACAATTTAAAGCAGCTCAGCTGCTGAGGACGATGTCAGTAAGCAGATGAAATGGTGTTCATCTTTGCCTCAGCTGTTGATAGATGCTGTTGTTTATACTGTGCAGTTCTGTTTACAAGCAAAACATATTCTTGTGTGTCATAGCAGCCTGAATGTGGACCTTTTTAGTGTTTACAAAGAAACCAGCTTGCAGGAAAATTGTGACCAGGTGACTTTGAAAGGCAAATTGTATTTTAGTCTTTGATAAAGATCTGGTGGCCCCAGCTAACAAACAGGGCAAGTATTTTAATATGAAGAGAGCTGTGTGTGTTTAATAAAAACTTTGGCATGCTGTGTGACTGCACCACAACAATCAGTCTTTATAGTTATTATATTTGTAGCACGCAGGACTGTAGCATTTCTCTAGAAGCACATCTCAGTTTTTAGGCTACAATTGCTGTTCCAGCACATCACCAGCCACCACCCTGAGAGCTCTGGACAGCCTTAGTTCTCTTTGGCTGGACATTTTCCACTGATTGGTTTAGTGATTTATGTTCATTGAATCATAAAAGCAGCTTTTCATGTCTGTATTCTCACATTCATCTGTCCTGTGCCCTATGTGCTTGCTTACATCTGATGTTTTCCAGAAAGCGACACAAAGCAGACGAGGAGACGTCACTGTTTGCTGGTATCATAATTGTATGCTGCTGGGATTCACATTCATTGCCACCCTTGCTTTTTTGTAGCTATTTGACAGGTGTCACTCATGTTTTAGACTAGAAATGATTTGTCAATTATAGTTAATCAACCAAAAATGACTAGAATTTAAAACTAGCTCCAGTGTCAGCTCCTGACATGGTACTCTTGAGGACAGAGGACCCGCCCACCTGCTGTTTAAAATTTTCGTTTGACTTAAAAGAAGAGGAGTTAAAACAGCTTGTTTGAGACAGATGACAGAAATAAGCATTATTCTAACACTGGAATCATGCAAAGCTACTCAAGCAAAGTCGAGTATAAAAATCTGGAGCTGGAAATGAGCAGGAAGTGTCCAGTTTCTGTAAAAAACAATGCATCAGATTTTCAGCTGTTTTTGATTCATTTTGCTGTATCGCAATCGTTGGTTGGGCAATACAGGACTTTTTATGATTTCTCAGCTTTGAAATGTTGATGTGGGTGTTTGTTTTACATGGATCAAATGATCAATCAATGAATTTAAAAAAGAAGTAATAATCTGCAACCCTGCTTGGCATATTCTCACATTTACTACTACTAATAAACAGCATATCACTGCCAGTCTACTGACACTGAGCATTGACATGATTGAGTCTCTGGTTGATCAAACCCACAATGAGAGCTATTTAGGCCTACCCCCCAATAAGGTCAGAAATGAGCAGAATAACTACAAGAAAAGTAAACTGTAGTAAAGTAAAGTTGCCCAGATTATCTTCCAACACTATTATGGCACATATTTAAGGGTTTCCATGGCAGAATACTGGTAAAAAAGTGGCACAGATGTGGCGCAGTCAATAGTAAATAGGAGCCACCATGTGCAGGAATACGTCTCCAAACACAAGGATTCATCTCCAAGACAAGGACATCTTAAAAACAGCAAACTGTTTGTTATAAGTGAGGTTTAATTACACTGGTATTGTAAAGTTCCCCGATGACTGATTTCCACTAAGTACAATGAAACATACTATGCATTAAATCTTGTTACACTGTATAGTATGACATACTGACAGCTTCCTCCTATATCCATTTTTACACTTTCTATCTTCTAGTTGCAATGATTCCTTCAGCTGGCCAGCTGTTATTACTGGATTACTTCCTGAAAGTCACCCGAGCTGCCCGGCACAGTGTGATCACGCTGAGACTGCAGCTATCCTTCTCAAATGGCAGCAAGTGGAATAACTAGACTAGCAGTGCAAGTGTCTGTGTGTGTGTTTAATTCTAGCCAGTGGAGTCATGCGGTGAATCTCATTCACATTAGCGATCATTGCGGTGACTCAGGCTTCATCTTTGCATTCTTTTAACCATTCATTACTCTATGAATTTTTTGCAGTGTGAAAACATCAGCTGAGTCATTACATTCTATTAGTAAATACAGACAGACAAAACAAAGACGAGTCTTTTTGGAGTCTCACTCTGGAAGCTAAATGATATTTACATGTAAAAGGAAAGAAAAAGCTATCCAAATTTGGTGTACCTAATGTACTCAGTTTCAGAGAGGACTTCACATCCTGTGTTTTACTATAAATGTTTGGTACCTTAATGTGAAGTTTTCACAGGACTCTGTGGAAACTAAGTACACCCTCACTGCTTCCACAGGATTTAAGAGGGTAAGTAGCAGCCACATGCTGCTGATAAGATGCACTCGATTAACAGAAAGCGTGAGCAGCCCTGTAACAGCAGAGGTTTTGGCGGTTTTGGGTGTGCATTAACATAATCCCACAATCTTCCCAGAAGTGGACATCACAGCAAATTCACCCCAGGGTCAGACTGTGCAACGTGAAGAGAAATGACAAAACCCCCCAAGAGCCACAGCTCAGAGTCTGCAGGCCCAGACAAGTTAAACGTTAAAGTTCATGACAGCACAATTAGCAAATACTGAACAAGTATGTCTTGTTTGCAAGGGTTGCTAGGAGAAAGCCTCTTCTCTCAAAACAGAACATGGCAGCGTGGCTAAAGTTTGTGAAGTTGCATCTGAACAAACCACAAGACTTCTGGAGCAACATCCTTTGGACAGACGAGAGGAGTTGGCCAAAATGTACACAGCCTTGTACCAGCATATCAGCACAAATGCTAATAATAAAGCACAGGGTGATGATCTGGGCTAGTTTTGCAGCTGCAGGACTCGTCCACCTTGCAGTCACCAACTCGACCACAACTTCCTCTGTACACAAAGTTTTCTTAAGTCAAATGTTAGGTCATCTGTCCAACAGATTGGCTGCAAGGGTATGGTCCAACAGGACAATAATTCCAAACACAGCAGCAGATCTACAACAGAATATCTGAAAAAGGAAAGCATCAAGCTGACTGAAATGCTGGACCTTAAATAGGCTCAGTATAAACGAATGCCCAATGAACTGAAACAACATTTTGAAGACGACTGGGTAAAATTCCTCTACAATGATGTGAAAGACTGATAAAGTCATTAAAGCCATAAAGAGCTATTTCTGTTAACATTGGTTCTACGAGCTACTCAGTCACAGGTTTTTTAAACGACTGCAAAGCCCCATGAAAACTGACTTCTTCACATCTGTATATATATAATTGCACAGAAAAGAGTAAACTTAAACTGCAGATATTACTGAAAGACAGTGATGGAGCCACACAGTTTTTATAGAGTGACCACAATGAGACCATTACTGAGAATGGGGTGATGGAGAAACATCATCTTTTCTTTTAAATATCTGTTTATATTCTTGATAAGTCACTGTATGCCTAACTGCTCATTTTTGGTCACTCACATGCTTATTTGTTCACTCATATGATAACCAAATTGATATGAGCCCTGACTGCTTAAAAAACATAATACAGAACTATTTCTAAAGTCATTCTTTTAAAATTGTTGATAAAGTCCATGATTCCTAATTTAGCAGTGTAGATGTGACGCTAACTTTGCTACAAACTAGGTTTTACTACTAAAACGTGTTGATATGGGAAATACAGCTGTAGAGAAATGGTTCCTCTAAGTTGTGTGAATGTAATTTTACTTCAGTTAGTATGAACAAGGCCTCTAGCAGGCTTCATTGTTACAGTGGCAAAACCAAAGTGTGGTTTCACTGGTCAATATGATGCAGTTTTGCTATTTCTGTCCTTAGTGACAATGGTGAGAAAACACTTCACTAGAGATTCTGCTGAGAATGCTCGCTGCCTAAGACATACCAAATCTTGTGGAGTTCTGAATGAAGCCCAAAAAATAATAAAACAATCACAACCAACATTACACTAAAGATACTCGTTGAAAACTATGAAACACCAGGGTGACTAAAAAATGCCAAAGGACTAGAACAAAACAGCAAACTCAAAGAGACGCAGCTAGAAGGATGAAAATGATGAGGAAGCAGATGAAAAAAAAATCACGAATAAGTCGCAGGAATCTCTCAAGAGATGCTGTGACCACATAAAATGAGGAAAAATGACACTAAAATTACGACTTAAAAAAGCAAAGCAACCACAGTCATAGAAAACAGCTATAGAAAAACACTATGGGGTATTAAGTTGTTTTTTTTTATTTTGTATGAAATGTGCGAAACCTTTATACACGGCCTACTGCCTCATAATTGTCCAAGCCAGTAATCCACACGTTAGATAAAACTACCCCTGGACACAGTGCGTTAATACTAATAATTATTACTACTTACACGTTAATGCACCAGTAATTCAAATACATAAGATATAGCTAGGCCTATGTAGCACTTCAGTTGACACGTTTCCAGTATAGTGACTAATATGAATTATATGGTATATTGTTTTTTTTAATAAAAAATAATTTGTATAATTTGCTGTAAAGTTGGAGCAGAAACTATTTGCAAATGTGTTATTTTAAAAACCTATCAAGCGAGAGAAAACCAATACGTGAGCGAGTAAAGGAAACACCCATGCATGCCCTAGCATTAGCTATATAGCGCATTCACAGACCTATATATCAGTTATGTAACTCTCGCTGTGTTCCTCTCTAATTTCGGTTCTAGGGCTGAAATGCACTCGTCTTTCACACAGCACCGCCTCGGCTGTGAGGAGGTCTTCAAAAACACTTATAAATGTGCAATAAACGATTGGGCAGAACGAGCGTTAAAATGTGGATACATAGAAGCGAGGTGCAGGGCCGGGCCTCGGACAGGTTTAGCCTCATTCCAGCACGCTGCCTGGTGAAGCCTCCACACATACACACTGTACTTCGCTCTCTGCCTCGATCTTTTTCCTTGTCCCTTCTCCTCTACCTAACCGACGGATTCGGAGCCTCGTTTCTCCGTGTTGTGATTGCCAGTTCTGGCTGTCCAATCACAATTGCGGACATCGCTCCCTGCAGCCAATCAGCTTTGTACGTGGTTCAGATGCTCGTCCAGCACGCTACGCTGTGTCTCTGTTATGTGTGCCATGGTCTCAACCCAGCAGTGTTGACAATAGGGTGAAAGGAAACAGCCCCGGATCATAGACGAGCAAAGAAAACACCAAAATCCAGGGTTTTTGGGGAAGACGAGCGAGTGAATCAATAACAGGAATGTAAATGCGTTAACGTAATCGTTTGTGTGTATCGTAGGTGTATTTTGTAATTAATGGGAGTTTGAGGATTATTCAGTTGGAAGGAAGGCTACTCGTGGGTTTGGCTGTTTCAGGCCAAAGATTTTCCTGCTGCTCCGCCGCTGCTGGGGAAAGGCTGTTCTTACCGAACTGGAGGTAGCCTAACTAATAGCCCGATAGCTTTCCAAACATAGGATAACTCCTCGCCGCCGTCTCCGTTGCGAACCGCAGAGGATCAAGGTAAAGTACTACGATTGGAGGGCTACCAGCCACTTGGTCGGCTGCAGCTTGTCGGGCTCGGGTCGGGACTCGGGACGGTGTGTGTCTCCCAGCCTGGTCACTCTGTCAGTCTGTGAGCGCTAGCTAACGGTAGCAGCATT